GTTCTGTTAAACTATGAAAGTTAGTATGACTAAAATGTTAGAGTTATTATGAGCTATATTGAAATCGCCTTATGAAGTTGTTATATACAGCAGTATGAGATTAACTTACTTGTAGCAGCTTTGAGTCTCGAGAATTGTGTGAGATATTGTTTGGTTTTCTGAAATGTAGACTGTATTGTATAGATTTACCTTGTTGTTGACCTGATAAGTAGAGGGCAGTTGTGCAGTGATAAGTGTAGTCTGGTTGAGAAATTGAGGTTAAACTGTTCTATTGATTGACTGGTTTGCTGTTGATATTATTGATGTTGTTCAGGTTGCCGTATATTAGGTTCTGTTTTATTATCTGCCATGTTCGGTTGTGCTGTTCATGTTATGAATTGAATTATTTGATTGGAAGTGTTTGCTGCTACTAAATTGTACAAGAGTCGTCTGATTGAATTATGTTTCAGTTGAATTGAGTTGTTGAATTGTATAATGTGGTAAGTGATTGCTTGAGCTTCTGTCATGAAGTGGGAACCGTGCCTCAATCTTGAGACTACTGTCGTGTATGCCATGTAGTGAGTAGGATCCACTCGCTGCTTGACATTACGAAAGTAGAATTAGCAATTATGAGACACGAAAACCTCCTTAAGAGAGAAGTCTAATGTATAGTAGGTTGTAATTGAGTAATGTCTAAAGGAAGAATAAATAACGAAGTATGGAATTGGATGATTCCCAGTGTGTGATGAGATGATACTCCAGCTGTGACTGGAAATGGGTCTGGCCAACACATTCTCCGGTAACACGGTAGTATCAAACTGTCAAACACCGAGAATCAATTGATGAAAAAGTTTTGTTTGGTGATTTTGGTACAGATGTTTGAAACTATGTGAGAATCTGATCTAAGGAATGACTTGAATAACTAGAATAAATAAACTAAACTTTGTTTTGGTCTTGATTCGTCAGGATAGAAATGTAATGAGGAGTCTTCGAATTGATAAATTGAAATTATGACAATATATTATTGCTTTGGGTATCAGTTGTTGGGTATAGCAATTAAAAAGAAGTATTTGAAATTGAATTTTTGGTAATAGACCAGAATTTGAGTTTATGAGCTGCTTAAATTATTTTAACTGTCTAGGATGTGAAACCTATAGTAGTAATGTTTAGTTAAAATCAGTTTGGGTGCTGTGCTCAAGAAATTATAAGTGTTTCATGATCTGAATGAGTATGTGTTGTCATAATCTAATTACTACATGAGACCCTGTTATTTTTGTGAATCTGGCTGGGTTGACTTTTCTGTTTTGAGCATTTGATTTTGTGAATTTTATTTTACGTTAGAAGTTGAAATTTAATGTGTGGGATATGCTAGGAAGAGTATTAGAACTAAGTTTGAGGTGAAAAGTATAGTTTTGTCAGTAACTGTATTATTTTTATTATTGTGCATCACTCTAAAGGGATATTTAACTGCAATTAAAACGTTGAATGTGGGTATTGTGTATGCGAAATATGAAAGCTTGATTTAGTTGATGGATTATGATTGGAGCTGTCGTAAATTGTAATGTGTGTAATAATTGGAAAGTTCATGTCACGGTGAATGGATCCTCTTTTCTGTGGAGTCAATTACATATGAGGTACCTAGGAGAGCGGAAAGCTTGAGGAAGTTTTCTCATAGGGGTGTTTGACGAACTGCAGGAGAGGTACCAACTGACGTGATATGTACGTAGGGTAGGCTAAGATTAGTTAGCTACGTACTTGACTGTTTGATATTTTGGATTTGTTGAGTACGTTGTAAAGGATAGACTTGAGTACATCTGACTTTAGGAAAATTGTAGACAATAGCTACATAATGAACATACAAACTTAACATCTCTTGTAATCATGGCAATTAGAAGTTAGAACCTTGGAATCCTAGTATCCTTACTCACATTCTTAAGTCAGCTTCATAGTTAGAGTTAATTACAAGTGCCTCCAAAACCCTAAGCTCTAAGCAAAAAGCACTACCTAGCAATGTGAATCCTTTTCCGCAAGATAGTAGCAAATATTGTGCTGTTAAATTAATTGATGCTGTAAATTTTTATGTCCCTAAAGTGATGGACTAAGACCTTTAGGAAATAAGAACGTTTATTATAATTCTGATTGTGATGAAATTTTGTGATTTTTCGAATACTCTTCTACATGGTAAATTGGAATATGATGCGTTCTGTTTTACTTCTTTGACTTCTTGTATACTATTAAATTGTGGAAATCCACTCATGATGGTTGTCGAGGCAGGTAAGTAGTTGTGAAATTAGGTATTGAATTGAATTTTATCATATGTAAGGAATAATTAGGGAGTGGACGAAATTGTAATTTGTAACATGTAAACTTTAAAGATAAAATAAGAGTAATTGAAGGTCCTAGTCACTTAATCATCTGTTTGCACAAGTATTAGGCAGGTATCTAATTGTTTTAAAATTGTCCAATTTGGAATGGTAAAATTTTGATTGTGTTATCAATTGTGAAGCACTCTTGTGAACTGAACTGTTGACTCTCAACTTAGCATGCATAAAATTTTAGGGTCATATTGTAGGTAATCACATGCATTTTAAGTATAGTAAGTTAGCAGGTGTATCAATAAGAGTACGACATGTTAGTGATATTGACACACATAAAGAAACGAAGAACATGAGTAACAAAGTAATGGATAACTAGGGATTTTTGTTTAATAAAATAATATGTGGTTTTACTTAGTCTTTGTTTTAGTATGGTCTTTGAAGTTAATTAAAATGAAACCAGAAAATTGTTGCTATGAATAAGAAAACTAATTAATTAATTTAATTGGCTGAAATTGGAGAAATCAATCAATTGGATTGATTGGATAAAATTAAGAAAACCTCTCTCTCTATATATACATACATACATATAGATGAAGGTTATACTTACAACCTTTCTTTTTACAACTTCTTACAACCACATTTTAACACCGTTGATTTTCGCCAATCAACGGTTATCATTTATTTTGAATTAATAATTAATTAATGAGTTTAATTTGCAAAAATCATATAACCATTGATTGGCGGAAATCAACGCTGTTAATATATGGTTGTAAGAGGTTGTAAAAAAAAAGTTGTAAGTATAACCTACCTCATATATAACCTCTACCATATATATATATATATCTGTTTGATATGATTTAATTCAAAAGATAAAAAATTTAATTCAAGAGATAAATTATAAGATATTTGTAAATAAGAAAATAAATCCTTAAAGATCATCTTAAAGTACTTTTCAGCTTAATTAAATCCCAAAGTGTCATTCTATTGAACATGGTTACTAGCCGTTTTATTGGGCGGGGTGATGTAGATCTAGGTGTTGATGACTATTTAACGATAGAAATTACAAGAATGAAATATGTATTGATAATTTGATATGATATTTTATGATGAATGTCATCGTTTTTTTTATTGGTAAATATTATGTCATCTTTAATTATATGAATATTAACGAAATTAATGATCAAATAATAATAAAATTGTTCTTAAGGGGTTATGCAAGATGCTCTAAATTATTCTAAAATATAATTAAGATATTATGAGATTATTTTCATATGTTTTAACATTAATTATTCGCAAGTATATTTTAAAAATTGAACAAAAAGGGTGATTACAAATTTACAATCAATATTATTACCTAAATATGTATTGTTTTTAAATATATTAATAATTAATGGTGCAAACTATAATTCGATCGAGTAAAATATCATGTTTTTGATAATTAAGTGAATATAAAAAAATAAATTATTTTTTAATTAACAAAACAAAAAAAGTTTTAAGCCCATTGACATTAAACAACAGATTTTTTTTTCTAATTTAATACAGGGATATGATTAATTTACATCGATTTAAAAATAATAAATTTTACACTCAATTTTCATTTGTAGATTTTCGTGTATCAAATGATTGTAATTGATTGAGTTATTCTCATTAATTATACTCGATTAATAATTGGATTATTCTCATTAATAATAAGAATAACCCAATCAATTATTTGATAGAAATAGATGGTTAAGATTAAATATAAGAATTATTTTTTTTACATTAATATGTCACGTATATAACCGGAAGTTATTTTCCTAATTTCATTCCATATACAAACAGTAGAACAGTACGTAGGAGTCAGTGAGTCACAGATATCATATAGCTTTGTTTTCGTTCAAATTCGAATAACCAAAAAAAGAAAAAAGAAAATTGTCAATTCTAAATTGTAGAAGCCTTCTTGTTCCACTATAAACATTATTATATATAGGTGTTCTCCTCTGCGGTTGTTTTTTACGGCTCTCTCCTTCCTTCACGGTGTTTTGAGGTACTTTTTTTCCTTAATTATTTTCTTATTATTTATATTTTCTCCATTAAAATCATATTTGCAATTTGCAAGGTGTTTTTTTTCTTGTATTTTTTTGGTCAATTTTGATTTTAATTTTTCTTTGCATTCTACAACTTATTTTTCATACTTTTTCCTAATTTAATACAGGAACTAAATCAATTTATACCATCATAAGATTGGGTTATATTTTTCAATTTTAGTCATTGATTTTGGTATATCAAACAACTGTAATTGATTGGGTTATATTTGATATTATTCTTGTACCCATAAAAATTGATCCAGTCACACACACGCAGGAGTCACAGATATCACATATATATAGGTTTGTTTACGTTCAAATTCAAATAACCTAAAAAAGAATCTCACCCCTAATCTGAAGAAAGCCTTCTTGTTCTGCGCTGCTGTTGTTTTTCACTGCTCTCTCCTTCCTCAATATTTGCAAGGTTTTGCTTTTTTGTATTTTTTGGTCAATTTTGATTTTAATTTTTCTTTGCATTCTACAACTTGTTATTTTCGATCCATACATCTTTGAGTGATTGTGGACTTGGAAGTATTTGGTTTTACATTTAATCTTTCTCTATTTTTGTTGTTGTTGATTGTAACAAAGTTCTATAGTTAAGACAAAGATACAATATTTTTTTGGCACAGCTTGATCGATGTCTTTTCCCTTTGGAGAGATGCTATCACATCACGAGGAAAGCTGTGGATGTTCATCCTTCTTTCAACTATTCTGCTTTGATAGCATATGGAAGACGCAGAAAGTAAGCTTGTTAAAGAGTAGAACAACTGCTAATAAAACATTATTGAGTGGAAAAGAAGAGAAGCAGCATGAGTGCACGTGGACAAGTCCCCCAGATGATATCATGGAACTGATAATGAAGCGTTTGTGCCTCAAAGATTGCCTTGGGTTGAGTGAAATATGCACCCCTTGGAGGGATATTGTTGCTAATGCCATTGCAAACAAGCATTTCCACCGATTTCCTGAACTGCCATTGCTTGTCCTCTTCACCCCATTGACAGTGCTTCGCCTCTTGACCCATTGCCAACCATCCCCAGTTTTCAGCTTGAGGACAAAACGTCTATTTTATCCCAAAAGACCACTATTTGAGAAAAGGCAGACCGTTCGAGGCTCAGTTGAAGGATGGATGATTGTGAGTGAATATTCTAATGGGTTTAGTCTTAGTCTTAGTGTAACCATTTTCTTCTTCAATCCAGTTACTAATGCTAAAGTCTTTGTCCCATCAGTGTTAAAATTTCCATCCAACTCTCCCCTTCTAGCCGATAAGTTGTTGATGAAAAAAACGGTAGCCTCCTCCAAACCCGATTGCTTGGACTATTTTTTGGTTTGTCTCTTCAATGATTATTGTCACATTACATTTTGTAGACTTTCTGACAAGTCATGGACAACAATTGAAGTAGATAAGGATACGGGGGTTCATTTTTTGGATGTGGAAATTATTGATACGAAATTGTATGCTAGAACTTTCAATTCTATATATATTGGTTTGAGATTTGCAAGATTTGAGTGATTACCCTCCAAAGCCTAAATTATTAGCTAGTGTTCCATCAAGGCCACCAGTGTTATCAACTGTATCTGGTAACCAACGTTTTGACAGGGGTAAAGTCTTCGCCAGCCTAGCCAAAGACGATGCATTAGGAGATTTATTCCTCATTCACATGTTCATTAACGTAGCTTATGAAACACGGCATGTTGGTTATTTGAACAAGGTCACCGAATTTGTTGCCCCGCCTGAGTTGACCAGAGTTGAAGTATTCAAGTTGAACACAAGTAATGAAACTAATCAGTGGATCAAGGTTGATAATTTGGGGGACCGCGTTTTGTTTCGTGACGTTTTCAAGGGTATGGTAATGTCAAGGGCCGCTCTTAATAGTTCTGAAGAATTAATTAAAGAAAATAGTATTAATTAATTGAAGACGCATCTAATCATTCCTCGAGCTAGTGAATAACTTGTTGTCAAAGTTTTATTTTTGTGCTCCAAAATTTTGTTTGAAGAATAAAAAAATAATAATTTAAATTTAAATTATAAAAATTATATTTTCACTCCAAAGGAAAATCTCCATATGATGTTCACCTAATAAAATTTAGAACTCAAGACTATGTTTCTTAAGTAATACATGTATTGACTAATTTAATTAATTTTTAATTATAATTTCTGTTTAGATTATTTAATTTGTTAAATGTGGATGTAGGTGGTGTAGCCAATATCTTACCTTGACAAGTTCTAACATGGGTAGCAGATCGAATCATGGCGTTTTGATTAGTAATTAAATAAATTATCAAATATTAAAAGAAAATTATTCTTAAGAGATCATATAAAATATTATATGATATTTACATATATCTAAATATTAATTATTTTTAAATATATTTTAAATTGAAAAAAAGAGGGAATGATCGCAATCAAGGTGGAATGTGTTCCAACATATAATAAAAGAGAACTTATGTTTACTATCGCGGACACAATATGAAGGGTCCAAAAGATTAAGGTTTACCTACAAACTTTTGAGGTAAAATGCAACTTTACAAGGCAGTGCAATTTTCAAGCACATAAGAGAGAGGCTTACTTATAGGGAGATATATTCTATATTAAAGAAATATTGCAAGTGTTAATTAACAAAAATGAACAATAACAATTTAAGAAAAGAGATAGAGAAAAAACAACAATAAATACATGACACAGTGCCAAAGAATCTCAATTTGGAGTCTTGTCTCTGTGTAGTCACGAACAAGAGAGTTAATTAAAATAGCGGCCTCAGCTGCTGTGGGAGACGTATCATCTGGCCAAAACAAGGCATATTACACGTGCTCCAAGTACTTCACAGGTGTTTTCTCCTTGAACACGTTAAGCCAATTAAATTAAGACAGGTGGTGCAGTACCAAGCAATTGAAGAATGACTTTATGACTCTTTATACAGCGTCGATGGGATAAAGAAATCCTTGTACTCTGTAGCCACCCTGATCTCTTTTTCCTGATTGATAAATTTTTAACCACAGTGAAAGATTAAACTTTTTATGGTCGACATTATCTGAAGTTAAACTTTCGTACACTTGATGTTAAAATTATAATTAAACTATTTAAATGATACGTTAACATGTTATTCCATAGTAGTACGTGAAATCTCAATTAATAATCAATATACTTTTGACAACCCTACTTTTCTACATAACGTTACACTAATATTTTTAGATTTTTTTTTTCAAAAAAAAAAATAACTTTTTAATTAAAGTACATCAAATGACTTGACCCAATGAACCAATAAAAGTGCATGATTAAAATAAGAGAAGGTTAATGTTTTGGCCTAATAACATGACCCATTATTTAACTCCCAAAGCGTTCAAGCCGGCTTTGTATATTGACACACTTTATTAAGTGTGTGAATGAGTCAGCCAACCTAATAAGGAGCTTTGGCTCGGCTTACATCAGGAAAATTCGGTCTATTACATATAGTCATATAGACCACGTAACGTTGTGTTCTACGAGAGCATCTTCTCATTTCAACACCCTCAGTCTGCTGATAAACCTCCACCATTGGCACTAGACCTTGAGCCTCTGCCTATGCTTGAGATCCTACCTGACTTGTCTGACCCTTTAGCTCCACCACCCATACAACAAGATGACCACAATATTTCTTCATTCCATGACCCATCAGAGAGTCAGCTTTCTTCAGCCACACCTACACCAGAGACAACTTGTAGGTCTTCACGGTCTTAAAATCCTCCACGCTATTTCTTAGACTATAATTGTGGACCTTCTGCTGCTCACAATACTCAATCCTCTCCAAGTATTAACCTTTATCCTTTATCTGATGCATTATCCTATAATCTTTGTTGTCCATTGCACGCCTTCAAGCTTCACTGTCTTACTGGTATACGTGGATGATATAGTCTTCTCCGGGATATTGCCGTGACGAAATTAATTGTGTGAAGTCTTATCTTGATGATAAGTTTAAAATAAAGGGACTTGGGAATTTTGAGGTATTTTTTGGGCCTTGAAGTGGCTAGATCAAAGACTAGGATCAATGTAAATCAGCGAAAATATACCCCTTGAACTTATTTCTGATGCGGGCTATTGGGTGCAAAGCTTATGTCTACTCCAATGGATCCTTCCTGTAAGTTGTCTCGTGAGCAAGTAACCCCATTATCTGATGTCGCACCATATAGACACTTGGTTGGTCGTTTGCTTTATTTGACGACCAGCTGTCCTGATATATGTTTCGCAAATCAACAATTATCATAGTTTGTTTCATGTCCTTCTGATATTTACATAACAGCTGCTAATCGCGTTTTAAGATATCTGAAGGGTTGCCCAACAATTGGGTTGTTCTTCTCAGCATCCACCAGTCTTCAAGTGAGTGCCTTTGTCGATGCTAACTGGGCTTGCTGCCCAGATACAAAGAAGTCCATCACGAGATTTTGTGTGTTTATTGGCTCATCATTGAAAACATGGATATCCAAGAAATAGAACACCACCTCTTGTTCCTCATCGAAGCTGAGTACCGGGCTTTAGTGAGTCTTGTATATGAGTTGCAATGGCTGCAATATTTGCTCACAGACTTACGTGTTCCATGTAGTAAACCAGCATCAGTATTTTGTGACAATCAATCAGCGATATATCTCGCCTATAATCTCACATTTCACGAGAGATTTAAACACATTGAGATAGATTGTCAGGTTACATGTGATTTCTGGGTTGGTTCGATTACTCCCTATGAGCTCTGCTTCAACTCGCAGACGTTTTCACAAAGGCGTTAGTTGCACCATCATTCCTCTCCATTATGTCCAAGATGGGTCTTGCGAATATTATGTGCCCATCTTGCGGGGGGATGTTACGGAGCAAAGCAATACAGATGCGTGTGCCGATAAAGGTGATGTCAATTGTAACATCCTGAGCGCTGACGAGGGCGGGGAGTGATCGCCGGTGCAAAGAGGCACGGACAAGGAGCGGCTCCTGATAGACTTCCAGCGGGGGGTTACATGCATGAATGAATCGAATCGACACCCGAAAGAGAGGGATTCCAAAGGTTGTGCAGGTATAAGGCTGCACAGATTGGGATAGCATATAAGAATTAATTGGTACTACTTATGCTAACAAGATGCATTTGCTTTTCGGTAGCCCGGATCGGAAGAACTCCACAGTTAAGCGTGGTTGACTTGGAGCAATTCTGGGATGGGTGACCTCCTGGGAAGTTTTTCCGGGAAGTGTGCGAGTGAGAAAAAAGCACACTGAAAAGTCTCGTGTTAGTAATTGGGGATAGTCATCGATTCTTGAAGCGGTCGGACGTAACAAGTGGTATCAAAGCAGGGCCTCTCATCCAGTACGGTGTGGTTCGAGGACGAACCAGGCGGAAGCTGGTGGGCATGTAACATCCCGAGCGCTGACGAGGGTGGGGAGTGATCGCCGGTGCAAAGAGGTACAGACAAGGAGCGGCTCCTGACAGGCTTCCAGCGGGGGGTTACATGCATGCATGAATGAATCGAATCGACACCCGAAAGAGAGGGATTCCAAAGGTTGTGCAGGTATAAGGCAGCACAGATTGAGATAACTTATAAGAATTAATTGGTACTGCCTATGCTAACAAGATGCATCTTCTTTTCGGTAGCCCGGATCGGAAGAACTCTACAGTTAAGCGTGCTTGACTTGGAGCAATTCTGGGATGGGTGACCTCCTGAGAAGTTTTCCCAGGTAGTGTGCGAGTGAAGAAAAGCACACTGAAAAGTCTCGTGCTCTATAGCACGGACACGTTGTTTTGTTGAAAATTTACGTGTCGGACACGTGTTCGACACCGACACTCTCGGACACGCCTCCGACACGTGGTCAACATTTGGGGACCGCGGTCAACTCTCGAACACGTTCTGTCACGCAGTCAACTTTGTCGGACACGCGGTCAACGCTCGAACACTTTTTTTTTTTTAAATCTTAATTTTATTTTGTTAACTAAATATAAAAGAAATAATTTATAAATTAATTTTTTTCTGTTATGAAATTTGACATAAAAAATTAACGAAGTACAAAAAATTATTTATATTTATGTTATGAAATTAAAATATTTGATTGGTTATATGACTTATTATGGACTCTTATATGTATTAAATATGAATTATATTATATATTAAATTTTTTATTTAATATCAAAACATGTCCCAACGTATCGAATTATGACATTTTTTAGAATTAACGTGTTAGCGTGTCGTGTCGTGTCCCGTGTCCGTGTCCGTGCATCATAGGTCTCGTGTTAGTATGTGGGGATAGTCATCGATTCTTGAAGCGGTCGGGCGTAACATCAATGGAAGAAATAAAAATGATAAAACTGCTGACGTGGATGATATGCATGCAGATGCTGACATGTCCTTCATAGCCACTAACCATGACAGATAGATAATAACATATTGCAGTTTTGAGTTTGTTAGATTTTTTAGACTCTCTATCTTATTCTGTTTAGTTAGTTCGGTGTTAGATAGGCTTCTTCTTGATGTATAAATAAGATACTTTTATGTAACTTTATTCATTCATTGAGAAAGAGTAAATTTCTTTCTTTTTTTTCTATTTAAATTGTTCAGTCAATTATACTATAACACCCCTCATGAATATAACATTCTACACCACTTTTTCTACATGCTATCAATATCACGCCACTTTATATATATATATATATATATATATATATATATATATATATATATATATATCCTTTGACATCGGTGTCAAATTTAAAATTTGACACCTCATCTGAGAGCCGTTAGATCAAAAAAGATCAATGGTGTTACATGCTTACAAATCAGAGTCGTTGATGTTTTTTGATATAACGGCTCTCAGATGAGGTGTCAAACATTAAATTTGACACCGGTGTCAAAGGATCCTTCCTTATATATATATATATATATATATATATATATATATATATATATATATATCAAACTGATATGATTTAATTCAAAAGATAAAAAATTTAATTAACAGGGTTATAGAAAAGGTGATATATTATAAGATATTTGTAAATAAGAAAAGAATTCTCAGAGATCCTCTGAAAATACTTTTCAGCTTAATTAAATCCCAAAGTGTCATTCTATTGAACATGGTTACTCGGCCTTTTGGGTGATGTAGATCTAGGTGTTGATGACTATTTAACGGTAGAAATTACAAGAATGAAATATGTACTGATAATTTGATATGATATTTTATTATGCATGTCATCTTATT